TGAAAAGATACAAATAAAACACAAATTAAAGATTCTCAGGTGTGATTTGAAATGAGCTGGATACAGGGAGGCTTTTTAAGATGAGCTTCAGAGAAAGCATATGTAGCAACGGGCAAGTTAGGACAACAGAGAGGGCTCACTCTAGAAGAGTTGGGAGGAGAGACAAGGCAAGATGGAGTGTATTGAAAACTAGGACAGTTTTTAAAAACAGGATTCTCATATGGTCAGAAAGCCTCTAGATATATTGGAAAAATAATTGATTAGCAATCTTTGTGCTGTATAAAGTTAAACTCTGCAAAGCTGGTAGGATGGAACTGCTAGAAAAATTGGAGCAAGCTCAGTAGAGGTCCTGAGACTTTGGAAGTGACGTAAGGCTATTCCCTTACTGGATTTTGAGAAAAGACAAAACCACCCCTTACTCCGAACCTCTTTGCCAGTGTAGGTGGTAAAGCCACTAGCTCAGCTAATTAGAGGAGGCCGAGTGAGGGTATTTGAGTGGGCAACAGTAAGTATGAGTGGGATTACAGCATTAACAGGTCATCCAGAGATTTAATGTGAACTGATGCTAGGGTTTATAGAAGCTAAACTGGAGTGAGATTTAGAATAAAAAGTACTCCTTTTCTTTTTGCGAATACAGACTAACACGGCTGTTCCTCTGAAATAAAAATATAGAGATGTCATGAGTACTCCCACTCAACAGCACCTGAGCAAGGAAAATTTAACTTACTGAACTTAGAACTGTAAGTCTTATGATCAGCCATTTGACCTAGAACATGTTCATGGTGCTCTGCTTTTTGCAAATGCTTGAAGGGGACATGGACAAACAGCTGTTTTTGCTTTCTTTCCTCCTCCACTTGGTGTGGTAAAGAAACTGATAATTTTAAAAAAAAATTAGCAAAACAATTTTCCCTTAAATCAGTTGGATTTTTACCTACAGTTAGTCTGAAAGGCAGGAGAAGAAATCTTGAATTCATATTTCTAAACTTCTACAGTACTTGTTTAAAATTGCATTACAAATTGTCCTCACTACCTGGAGGGGGTATTATTCCCATTTTAAAGAGGGTGTCATAAATATAAAGGGAAGGGTAAACACCTTTAAAATCCCTCCTGGCCAGAGGAAAAACCCTTTCACCTGTAAAGGGTTAAAAAGCTAGGATAACCTCGCTGGCACCTGACCAAAATGACCAATGAGGAGACAAGATACTTTCAGAAGCTGGGGGGAGGGAGAAAAAGCCTCTCTGTCTGTGTGATGCTTTTGCCAGGGACAGAACAGGAATGGAGTCTTAGAATTTAGTAAGTAATCTAGATAGATATGTGTTAGATTATGATTTCTTTAAATGGCTGAGAAAATAAGCTGTGCTGAATGGAATGGATATTTCTGTCTTTGTCTTTTTGTAACTTAAGGTTTTGCCTAGAGGGATTCTCTATGTTTTGAATCTAATTACCCTATAAGGTATTTATCATCCTGATTTTACAGAGGTGATTCTTTACACTTTTTCTTCTATTAAAATTCTTCTTTTAAGAAACAATGCTTTTTCATTGTAATTAAGATCCAAGAGTTTGGGTCTGTGGTCACCTGTGCAAATTGGTGAGGATTTTTAATCAAGCCTTCCCCAGGAAAGGGGGTGTAAAGGTAAGGGAGGATTTTGGGGGGGAAAGAAGTTTCCAAACGGGCTCTTTCCTAATAATAATAATAATAATACTGGTTAGACGTTTGGTGGTGGCAGCGAAAGTCCAAGGACAAAGGGTAAAATAGTTGTACCTTGAGGAAGTTTTAACCTAAGCTGGTAAAAGAAAGCTTAGGAGGTTTTCATGCAGGTCCCCACCTCTGTACCCTAGCGTTCAGAGTGGGGAAGGAACCTTGACATGGTGGCAGAGCGGTGGGATTACCTTGAAATCATTTTGAGATTTTTTGAACCAGAAGCACAGATTTTAACAGGGAATTTTTTTCCTTTGGGCTGCTGGAAAGCAGGTTTCCAACTGAAAGCAGTTAGAGTTTTTTTCTCTGCTTTGGGGCCAGAGCAGAGATAAAAGGGAATTGTCTTTTGTGAGCTAGAGTTTTCTCTACCTAAAAGGCAGGGTAGTTAACCTCCTGCAGGGAAATTCACTAGTCTTCACAGATCTGAAGAAGTTTTTTTTTTTAACCTAAGAGCAACTAGTGGGGTTTTCTGCCTATTTGCCTGGAGACAAAGGTGTTAAGGGTTTTTTTTGGGGGGGGGGGGTTGTTTGTTTTTTGGGGTTTTTTTTTAGCATTTTTCTGTAGGCTGACAATCACTGTCAGAATATAGGTATCCTATTACAGCACAGCAAAATTTTACAAGCCAAGTTTTTTTTGTTTTGTTTTCTTTCTAACTCTCACGTGTAAAGTTAGTTAAAAAACAGAGAAGTTAGGATGACAGACTCCATGGTTCAACAAAGGCTGGAATTAGCCAGATTTGAGGCTGAGGAAAAACAAAAGGAACGTGAAAGAGACAGAACTCATAAGGAAAGAAATGGAGGCAAGGGAAAAAGAAAGGGAGGCTGCCCACAGGAGTGAAATGGAGGCAAGAGAGAAAGAAATGGAGGTAAGGGACAAAGAAATGGAGAGGAAGCATGCACTGGAGATGGAGAAGGCAAACGCTCAGCAGAATATACTGACAAACCCTAGCAAGCCTTCTCCAGGTACCACCTCCCATCCCAGAAAGTTCCCCACCTACAAGGCAGGCGATGATACCGAGGCCTTCTTAGAAAACTTTGAAAGGGCCTGCCTTGGGTACAGCATCTCTACAGACCAATACATGGTAGAACTTAGGCCACAGCTCAGTGGACCCTTAGCTGAGTTGGCGGTTGAAATGCCTAAGGAACACATGAACCAGTATGAACTGTTTAAAACCAAGGCGACAGTCAGAATGGGGTTAACCCCCGAGCATTCCCGTCAGCAGTTCAGAGCCCTAAGGTGGAAACCAGAAGTGTCATTTACCTGACATACCTACCACATTGTGAAACATTGGGATGCCTGGCTATCAGGAGCAAGTGTTAAATCTCCAGAAGATTTGCCTTTCCTAATGCAAATGGAGTAGTTCTTAGAGTGTTCCTGAGGAAATATAAGATACATCCTAGATCGGAAGCCCAAAACTAAGAGGCAGGGGAGATTGGAGCCAAATGGGTGGAGGTGGCAGAGAAGAAGAAAACTGGTTGCAGTGGGAGCGGATACCAGAAGGGACCACCTCAGACCACACCCTACTACCGGGGACAGCCCAAGGCCCCACCTACCCCCCAAGGAACCCTCCAGCCACCTTATCCCACCACACTGTTCTCCAGCAACCCACCTCGCCCCAGTGACCCGACAGCTGGACAATGTTTTAAATGTAACGAGCCAGGGCATGTAAAGGCCAACTGAACCAAGAACCCCAACAGATTACAGTTCATTGCACCGGAATCACACCAGAGGTCCTCAGGCCCAGATACCTCCCAGATACCCTTGGAGCGGAGGGAAACTGAGTGTGGGCGGGAAGAAGGTCACCGCGTGGAGGGACACCGGAGCACAAGTGTCAGCTATCCATGCTTCCTTAATGGACCCCAGTTTAATCAACCCAGAGATCCAAGTGATGATTCAACCCTTCAAGTCAAACTCTTTCAGTTTGCCTACAGCCAAGTTGCCTGTCCAATACAAGGGCTGGTCAGGAACATGGACTCTTGCAGTCTATGATGATTATCCCATCCCCATGCTGTTGGGTGGGATAATGGGTGGGAATGGTCACCTGCAGCCAGACTAAACAAGCTGTCATGCCTAGCTCTGTTCCGGAAACTTCTACCAGGAGCCAGTCAGAGGTGATGGACCCAGAAGAACCCAATGCACAGCTACAGACTAGGGACCGAATGGCTAGGCAGCAGTTCTGTGGAAAAGGACCTAGGGGTGACAGTGGACGAGAAGCTGGATATGAGTCAGCAGTGCGCCCTTGTTGCCAAGAAGGCCAATGGCATTTTGGGATGTATAAGTAGGGGCATAGCCAGCAGATCGAGGGACGTGATCGTCCCCCTCTATTCAACATTGGTGAGGCCTCATCTGGAGTACTGTGTCCAGTTTTGGACCCCACACTACAAGAAGGATGTGGATAAATTGGAGAAAGTCCAGCGAAGGGCAACAAAAATGATTAGGGGTCTGGAACACATGAGTTATGAGGAGAGGCTGAGGGAACTGGGATTGTTTAGTCTGCGGAAGAGAAGAATGAGGGGGGATTTGATAGCTGCTTTCAACTACCTGAGAGGTGGTTCCAGAGAGGATGGTTCTAGACTATTCTCAGTGGTAGAAGAGGACAGGACAAGGAGTAATGGTCTCAAGTTGCAGTGGGGGAGGTTTAGGTTGGATATTAGGAAAAACTTCTTCACTAGGAGGGTGGTGAAACACTGGAATGCGTTACCTAGGGAGGTGGTAGAATCTTCTTCCTTAGAAGTTTTTAAGGTCAGGCTTGACAAAGCCCTGGCTGGGTTGATTTAATTGGGGATTGGTCCTGCTTTGAGCAGGGGGTTGGACTAGATGACCTCCTGAGGTCCCTTCCAACCCTGATATTCTATGATTCTATGACCCGACACCAGGCCAATGTCTGCAACAACAGTAGTGGATCCAGTCCCAGAGACCCAGAACTGGAACCGGTGGAACAACTAGCACCAGACCCATTGCCAGCACTGAATCCAGTACTTGCAACCCCGACACCAGAGGGCCCCACCGAACCTGAACCAGCAGCAGCCGATAACTCTACACAAGAGGCTCAGCCGGAGCCTGAACCTCAACATAGTGCACCAGCGGAGAGCGATTCACAGTCAACGGAAACAGCCCCATCCCCTACATCGCTTCCAGAGGGACCAAGCATAGGTCCACAATCCAATGAGGAACTGATGTCTCCAGCATCAAGAGACCAGTTCCAGACTGAACCAGAAGTAGATGAAAGCCTCCAGAGAGCTTGGACAGCGGCATGGAGCAACCCACCGCCTCTCAGCTTTTCTAATCGATCCAGGTTTGTTGTAGAAAGACGACTTTTATACAAGGAAACTCTTTCCGGTGGACACCAGGAAGACTGGCATCCTCAGAGACAGTTGGTAGTTCCAACTAAGTACCGAGTCAAGCTATTAAGCTTAGCCCACGATCATCCTAGTGGCCATGCTGGGGTGAACAGGACCAAAGACTGGTTGGGGAGGTCATTCCACTGGGAGGGAATGGGCAAGGATGTTTCTACCTGTGTCCGGTCTTGTGAGGTATGCCAAAAAGTGGGAAAACCCCAAGACCAGGTCAAAGCCCCTCTCCAGCGACTCCCCATCATTGAAGTTCCATTTCAGCGAGTAGCTGTGGATATTCTGGGTCCTTTTCCGAAAAAGACACCCAGAGGAAAGCAGTACATACTGACTTTCATGGATTTTGCCACCCGATGGCCGGAAGCAGTAGCTCTAAGCAACACCAGGGCTAAAAGTGTGTGCCAGGCACTAGCAGACAGACATTTTTGCCAGGGTAGGTTGGCCCTCTGACATCCTCACAGATGCAGGAACTAATTTCCTGGCAAGAACTATGGAAAGCCTTTGGGAAGCTCATGGGGTAAATCACTTGGTTGCCACTCCTTATCCACCATCGAACAAATAGCATGGTGGAGAAGTTTAATGGAACTTTGGGGGCCATGATCCATAAATTCGTAAATGAGCACTCCAACGATTGGGACCTAGTGTTGCAGCAGTTGCACTTTGCCTACAGAGCTGTACCACATCCTAGTTTAGAGTTTTCACCATTGGAACTTGTATATGGCCGTGAGGTTGAGGCCGTTACAGTTGGTGAAGCAGCAATGGGAGCGGTTTACACCTTTTCCAGGAACTAACATTCTGGACTCTGTAACCAACCTACAAAACACCCTCCGAACCTCTCTAGCCCTTGCTAAAGAAAACCTACAGGATACTCAGAAAAAGCAAAAAGCCTGGTATGATAAACATGCCAGAGAGCGTTCCTTCGAAGTAGGGGACCAGGTCATGGTCTTAAAGGCGCTCCAGGCCCATAAAATGGAAGTGTCATGGGAAGGGCCCTTCAAGGTCCAGGAGCGCCTGGGAACTGTTAATTATCTCATAGCATTCCCCATCTCCAACCAAAAGCCTAAGGTGTACCATATTAATTCTCTAAAGCCCTTTTATTCCAGAGAATTAAAGGTTTTTCAGTTTACAGCCCAGGGAGGAGATGACGCTGAATGGCCTGAAGGTGTCTACTATGAAGGGAAAAGTGCTGGTGGCGTGGAAGAGGTGAACCTCTGCATGACCCTGGGGCGTATGCAGCGACAGCAGATCAAGGAGCTGTGCACTAGCTACGTGCTGATGTTCTCAACCACCCCAGGACTGACTGAACGGGCATACCACTCCATTGACACAGGTAATGCTCACCCAATTAAAGTCCAACCTTACCGGGTTTCTCCTCAAGCTGAAACTGCTACAGGACGGGAGATCCAGAATATGTTACAGATGGGTGTAATTCGCCCCTCTGGCAGTGCAAGGGCATCGCCTGTGGTTCTAGTTCCCAAACCAGATGGGGAGATACAGCATTTAGCTTATGGTAGTCTACGCAAAAATGTAACTCACCCAGACAACTATCCAATGCCATGCACAGATGAACTATTACAGAAACTGGGACAGGCCCAGTTCATCTCTACCTTGGACTTAACTAAGGGTTACTGGCAGGTACTGCTAGATGAATCCGCCAAGGGAAGGTCAGCCTTCACCACACGTTGGGCTGTATGAATTTAATTTACTCCCTTTCGGGCTGCGGAATGCACCCGCCACCTTCCAAAGACTTGTAGATGGTCTCCTAGAGGGATTAGAAGAATATGCAGTCACCTACCTTGACGATGTGGCCATATTTTCGGATTCCTGGGCAGAACACCTGGAACATCTACAAAAACAACTGCCATACTCGACTTCTCCCCCTACTGCATAAGTGGATCCGCATTGCTGCTGGTTACCTCCCTACTGTATTTCTTCCCAGACCTTCCCAGTCTGCCCTTCCCTAAGGAGCTCCACTTACAGCTACCAGTAGTCACTTGGTTTCCCCCAGACCTGCACATGTAACTAGGGAAGTGCCTTCAAATCCTTTTCTCTAAGGATTGTTTAAAATCAAGAATGAAAGGTTTCAGAGTAGCAGCCGTGTTCGTCTGTATTCGCAAAAAGAAAAGGAGTACTAGTGGCACCTTAGAGACTAACCAATTTATTTGAGCATGAGCTTTCGTGAGCTACAGCTCACTTCATCGGATGCATTCAGTGGAAATGAAAGGGTTAAACAAGTTTGTCCCTCTGATCTGTCCTGTTTTTTAATCCCTGTTCCAGGAGCATGTGTATTGCCATTTGCCAAACTGGCTAGAGTGGTCCAACAGTGTCACCTAGTGGTATGAAAATCACATTATGAAGACTCGCAAAAAGAAAAGGAGGACTTGTGGTCCTTAGAGACTAACCAATTTATTTGAGCATGAGCTTTTGTGAGCTACAGCTCACTTCATCGGATGCATACTGTGGAAACTGCAGAAGACATTATATACACAGAGACCATGAAACAATACCTCCTCCCACCCCACTCTCCTGCTGGTAATAGCTTATCTAAAGCTATTACCAGCAGGAGAGTGAGTTTGTGTGTGTGGTTTTTGGAGGGGGGGGAGGTGAGAAAACCTGGATTTGTGCTGGAAATGGCCCACCTTGATTATCATACACATTGTAAAGAGAGTGGTCACTTTGGATGAGCTATTACCAGCAGGAGAGTGAGTTTGTGGGGGGGGGGGCGGAGGGTGAGAAACCCTGGATTTGTGCTGGAAATGGCCCAACTTGATTATCATACACATTGTAAGGAGAGGGATCACTTTAGATAAGCTATTGCCAGCAGGAGAGTGGGGTGGGGGGAGGTATTTTTTCATGCTTTGTGTGTATAAAAGATCTTCTACACTTTCCACAGTATGCATCCGATGAAGTGAGCTGTAGCTCACGAAAGCTTATGCTCAAATAAATTGGTTAGTCTCTAAGGTGCCACAAGTACTCCTTTTCTTTTTGCGAATACAGACTAACAAGGCTGTTACTCTGAAACCTGTCATTATGAAGACTTCAACTCTCCAGCAACTCATCCTTCTCAACCAAGGTCATTTTATATACTGACCTATTGCAGTTAAAACAAAAACATGAATTAGGCTTCAGTCTTAGAGTTCAAAGTAAATGACAAAGCTTTATTGAATAAAAATGTTTCATACTTAGCAAGATTGGAAGAAAGTAGAATATTTTACACCTCTATAAAAATATAGTTGACTAATTCTCAAGTGAATACAGTACAGAAAATAAACTACTGTAGGAATAAACCCTTCCCCCCATTCAAATTATTATTTGTAAAATAAATCCTGTCAAATTTAAAAATGTACTAAAAGCTTTGCTAGAAACCAGTCCCAAGAAAGAATCCCACTGTTTGTCTAGTTCTCTTAGAGTTTGTATGTGCAAGTCTCACAGTTGTAACTATTAAAAAAGATCTCTGGCAGTTTGGTACAAGTAGGGTTTAATAACTGTCAAAAGGCCTTACAAAAGTTATTTGCAGTTTTAAGTGAATCAGAAGAGGGAATAAAATCTAAAAGTAGAAAAAAAAGTCACCTCAGAAAATGCACATGGAATGCAAGAGTATTGCCCTGCAGACTCTTGTGAAAGGGGTGGCTTGTCTTCAAGAGTACCATCAGTCATCATTGGGTTTGATCTGCACTACTATTCCAGCAAGGGGCACACTGGTGCATTAGCCAGCCAGAGGGCTGTACTACCTCTTAATTCCAGTTTAGAATTAGTCGTGTATACAGGAGAGCAGAGTGCAAAGTAAGAAGTTTTCCGCTCATCAAGAGCAAGCAAATAAAAGGAATTACATTGCATTCTGAGTACTTAATATATTTTAGTTGCTAGATACGAAGCACAAAGACAATTAGCGTTTTCATGAGGAAAACATCCCAGCTGTGCCCTTTACACGTATTAAAGTGCATTCAGTCACCATTTTTGAAGCAGGCCTGCAAGTCCCTTTGGAATTGGTCCCTAAGCTCTGCAGTAGCATTCATAGTGGTAATAATAGTGTATTACAGAAAGTGTTTAATACCACCTTTGGGAGTACAGTGGAATCCTGCAAACTACTGTTACTGGAATAAGTGCCAAAACACAAAAAGGATAAAATACAGCAATGACCAGGGTATAGAATAGAGCTGTGTTCTCATGCTGTAAATTCTGATTACCTGATGTAGGAACAGCTGTCCCACACCAAGGGATCAGATGTTTCCATACAGCTAGATATGATCTTTGCAGGTTTCTAGTGTACTTTTCTACCTCATATCTGTACATTCTATTGTTCCCTAATGTGTCAATGTGCAGTATAGCATCACTTTTACAGAGGGCAGCTGCTTGTTAAAAGCGAATACACCAATTTAAGGCCCAGCACCTTGCAGCAAGTTTTCTAGTGAAAGACCAATTTATTCTTCATCTTCATCCTCTTCCTCATAGTAACGATTCCTCTTGATCTGTTCTTCCACAGACAAATCTTCCACATCTTCACCTTCCCAGAACACGTCATCTTTGGATTTGCTGTTCTGGCTAGGGGATAATTCCTTAGCAGTGACCACGTTCGATAAGCTGATACATTTAGGAGAGTTGGAGTCAAATATTTCTTCATTTGGAGATGGCTGCTGCACTGTGGCATTTTCTTCATCATCTGTCTCCATACCCACCTGACCATTCTGTATCCAGTTTTCTTCCCTGTCTGCCTTGATATCAGGTACTTCCCTTCCTCTTTCTTCCTCCAGTTCTTTATTCTTCTCTTGAGTGTTCTGGATGTTCCCATTCTCAGCTTTTTTTCCCTTTTGCTTTCTTTCCATCACTGCCTCCCTCTCTAGTTCTTCACTTTGTTTGAACATGACCCTGTCTGCTTTGGAAGGAGAAGCTACGTTCTCTGTTTTATGGCCCTTAACAGACATTGTTCTAAATGAGGCTGCTACTGTAAATGGACGACTTCTTTCCTTCAGTGAAGATGTTCTTCGTAGTTTTCTGAGATCCAGGTCCACATCCTCCTGCACATCTGGCTTTGACACCTCATCTTCTGGGGGCCACTTTGGCTTAAATACTTTGATACCCTCTTCCAATGCACTTCCTTGACTACCTAGCTCTGATGGAGGTGGCCATGCAATCCTCAGTTTTTTTGTTTCTGCTGGTTTCTCTTCCCTTCCAGGCAAAGCTGCAACTTTTGCTTCCATACTAGCTGCAAGAACTCCCACCTTTGCAATTGGGGCATCCTCCACTCCTGGACTTTGGGGGCCTTCTATTGTATTTTCAGTGTGGGCAGATTTCTCCAGGGACTCTTCGTTCTCAGTTTTGCTTACCCATAGTTCCTTGTGCTGTTTGTGCCCAAAACCTTCATCATAGTTGCCTTTGGATTTAAAGAGCTGATTGAAGTGAGGCTTGCAATAAATATTCCCACGTAGAGATGCATATGTTCCAAGACTGTTCAAGAAAACAAAACGTTAGCACTCCACATGTCTCTCAATCAGTTGCAGATTAAGGCCCTAATTTTAGCTAGGTCACTGAAAAACTTGGCATTAAACAGCTCTTCAAAGTTTTTAGAAAAGCAAGTTTTACAGTGTGTTGACCTGGTGTCACCAGAGAGAAGGTCATACCCAATATAAAAAGGCATTTTTATGGGTTTTCCTCCTAAGTGCTTAAAGATCTTTACAGCAGGTAGGAATTATCCCCATTTTACAGATAGGAAAACTAGTATAGAAAATTCAAGTGACATGTCTAAGGTCATGTAGCAAGTTAGCAGCAGAGCTGGGAGTACAACCTGACTCCCAGGCCCTTGCTCAATCAACTAGACTACAGCTGCCTTCCTCACAGTAGACGAATATTTGCACATATTCCGTATTCCGCTTCCTGTTATATTTTAGGAAGGTTGAATTTCCTTCTAAAAGACTGACACTAATATACCTCACCCTCAGCACAGATTACCTGAGTTTGCTATTGCAATGTGAACAGCGGAAGCAGCTGATATGAAACACCTGCTGGTTGGCAAAGAGACGTTCCATTGGGTACACTGTCTTCTGACATGCAACGCAGGTTTCCTTCACTGGCAGCTGAAACTTCTAAGGGAAGAAAAGGCGGCTTCTTAACTGGACAAGAACTAGTGGGTGAGGAGACTTGACTTGGGTTTTGTCCAAGACTTCCAGAGTTCTCAAACAACTTACTTAATATTTAATAATTAGCAGCTCTGAAGGTAGTTCCTAGAGTGACCCCCTGTACCCTAGTTGAGTGAAGCAGACCTATTACAGACTCATTGCCTTGGTTTGATAGCAAGAGCCTATCCTGCATTCTCCCTCTCTGCTCCCTTATCACCTAAACCTCTGAGATAAAACAGTCAAGAATGGACAGTGGAAGTGTTAAAATTCTCACATGGGTCATAAAGAAAGCTCTGTCAAGCCATTCCCAAGAGACTGAGTACACCTACACTGAAACTGAACACCTGCAACTGGCCTGGGTCAGCTGACTTGGGCTCAAGGGCTATAAATTTTTAGTGTAGACTATTCAGGTTCAGGCTGGAGTCCAAGCTTTGAGACCTCGTGAGAGGGGAAAGGTCCCAGAGCCTGGGCTCCTGCTTGAGCCGAAATGCCTACACTGAAATATTACAGCTCTGTAGCCTGAGCCCTGCAAGCTAGAGTCAGCTGACATAGGCCAGCCACAGGTGTTTAATGGCAGTGTAAACCATACCTTGTATGTCCTGCCCTATCCTCCCTGCCTCAAGCCTGCTGATAGGGAAAGATGAGGAAGTGGGGAAAATACAAAAGAGGATAAGTTTAAAAGAAACAGTGGGATGAACAGCAATACAAGAAGCTCAGTGGGGGGAACAAGTAATGAGGCAGCCAAATAAGCCGGGGGGGGGGGGGTGGAGAGAGAAGAAGAGAAGAGGATGACAGGAGGGGAACAATTTGCTCAAAGGTTTAGGCTGAATAAGTTTTACTAAATGCTTATGGCTTTAGGAATGAAGGCGGCTCACTTCGGCAACTTTCAATACAAACTGATTAAGCCAGCAATTTTTTCCTACAGCTGCTTTTAGAAAGTTAGTCTCAGTAGTTCAGGGCAGCAAGAAATGTATCTAACCCCACATGAAAAATTTCAGAGCTCTAGCAAAGGCACTAGCTACACTCAGCTTTTAGGGATTTGCAGTTTCACTAAAATTAAAGTTACATAACAGATAACTAAAGTTAACCCTGATGTTGGCATACTAGTAACAGTGCATGTACTGCATAAGAGGCAACATCCCATAAGTTAAGAAATGTCGTAAGGATAAACCCAAAACTAGTAAATATTAAGCGTCAGCATTATGCTACTTGGGAATAACCTCAGAACATGTGTCCTGACAGCATCAAGGAGGTGATATTCTATGTCCACCAAAGAGGTCACTTGATGCTCCTTACTCCTTAACACACCTGCTAGCGGTGACTTAACATGGAAGCTTAATAAAAAGAGGAAATGGCATATTGACTATCCAGACAAAAAGCTGGCCCTTCTGGACTGACCCAATTGCAACAGCTTTTCTAGCAATAGAATAGAAAGTTACCTAGGTCCTGTGTCAAAGGGGTACAGAAAATCATATTTAGATACTGTCAACTTTAGCCTTTAAGAGAAGGATATGATGGTTAAGGAATACGGAAGCAGGAAGTGCAACATCACAGGAGACAGCTACAGGGGTTGGTGTCTAGTTTGTATTCTAAATAAAATGATGACATGGTTAAGAATTGAAGGTTATGATAGATGAGAATCAGGTTGCGGAACAGAGCCAGCTGATTTAAACTGGTTTGTCACAACTTTAATGTTGCACATAATTAGGTAGTTTGCTATATATTATTTCTAGTCTAATACACTTAGATTGTAGAGAGATGAGAACTTTAAAAATAAACTTTGATATTAGGTATTTGAAATGACACTAAGGGCCTAATCCATACTGAGAGCTTGATAAGAAACCTCAAAAAACTCCCAGAGCCTCATGTGATTTATTTATTTTTGAAAGGAAACTTCAAGGCACTGACCTTTTGCACCAATGTTCTCACCTTTGTGTGAAGAGAAAAGGAGTACTTGTGGCACCTTAGAGACTAACCAATTTATTTGAGTGTAAGCTTTCGTGAGCTACAGCTCACTTCATCGGATGCATACTGTGGAAACTGCAGAAGACATTTTATATATATATATATATATATTTATTTATTTATTTAGACAAGCTATATTACACAATAACTATTATACACACCAGCAGGAGAGTGAGTTTGTGTGTGTGGTTTTTGGGAAAAGGGGGGGGGGTGAGAAAACCTGGATTTGTGCTGGAAATGGCCCATCTTGATTATCATACACATTGTAAGGAGAGTGATCACTTTAGATAAGCTATTACCAGCAGGAGAGTGGGGTGGGAGGAGGTATTGTTTCATGGTCTCTGTGTATATAAAGTCTTCTGCAGTTTCCACAGTATGCATCCGATGAAGTGAGCTGTAGCTCACGAAAGCTTACACTCAAATAAATTGGTTAGTCTCTAAGGTGCCACAAGTACTCCTTTTCTTTTTGCGAATACAGACTAACACGGCTGTTACTCTGAAACCTTTGTGTGAGTGAGTCAGTGCAATCTCTAACACACGCCATTGATGTCTGCTAGCCCGGACAAAGATCTACTCACCCACCCTTGCCACAAAAAGGAACAAGGCATTACTAACTTTCTTACCAATAAAAAAGTTACCCTCCTTCCAAAGACAGCATAAGTGCAAGGCTGCACTGCATCGTGCTAGCATGTGTTATTGCAATACATGTCCCCATCTAAGAGGAGGAACTTACATGGGTATACAGTGACCCCTGTTTGTCTGCTGTAGAGATGGTTTTTGGGGTGCATAGAGAAAAATTTCCTTTCTGGGCATTACTGTACATAGCTACTACAGGAGGAGGGTGAAGCCCAGTTAATAAAAAAAGGAGAACTGGAGAAATAGCCGAGAGTTGAGCTCACATTAGAAGGGAAGCAGAAGGCAGGAGTAGAGATTAGGAACCAGGAACAGGAAACAGAAGCTGGAAGAGAAATAGGAACCTTACATGAAATCAGCAGCATCTGGGGTGTTCTCTAAAACCTGCAGCAACAACTATTAATGAAGGTAGAGATCCAAGCTGGGTTTTATCATGTGAACAGGATGCAGATTCTTTTGAAATAAGCACAAAGAACCATAAACTTAAAGGATAAGTAGCTTACATATGAACACACACTGGAATACCTTCTAAATTATACAATCCTAAAGGCATTTTTGCCATCTCAAATTTTGCGCATACAGCACCTTTCAGAAGAGGTGCTCACAGCATTGTGATAAATCTTGCTATCTTCTTAAATAAAATAAGTATTATACCTACCCCTCTTTTACAGATGGGGAAAAAAATGCAGAGTGGTGAAGTGATGTGCCCAAGAGTAACATAGGAGTCTGTGGCAGAGCAGAGATAAGACTTCCTATTTGAGCACGTGTGAAGAGGATGCACCTCACATCACATTACTGAGATATCATTGAAGTGCCCATCTCATAGTATCTGCGTGCCTCGAAGTGAGAAAATGATCCCTATCCAAAAATTCTCCATTGCTTCCTCAGCTACCGTTATATTGGGGTTGTTCTTGCCTGTTTATATCCCAGAAAGTCACAAGCAGGTCTACAGCCATCACTACTGAAGAAAGTCTTGGCTAAAGAGAGGAGTAGTGTACTGGGCTCTAAAGGTGATAAAACTTGGACTCATCCTGATCTCCAATGGAAGGGAATTTCACATCTAAGGGCTTGCCTCTGAGAATGCCAGGACTCCAGCTCCGAGCAGTTGTACACTGAGATCCCTCAACTATGAATACCTACTTGATTGCAGCTGCTATCATGGTTGAGGAGAGGAAGGCAGACAGCCAGGCCCCAGGGTGGGCTTTAAAGATTAGCATCAGGACCTAGATGAAAATCTCTAGGAACTCTGACTTAAGAAAAGCCCAGAGCTTGTCAATGCAAGACCTGAGTACAGAAGTCTGGATGTAGAACTTCTCCTCCCATCAAGAAGCAAATTAGTAGTCCCTTACTGTCACTGGAACAGCGCCCCTTTAACAGTATGGCAGCTGTCAGCAGGCAACTCACAAACTCCATCTTTGAAGAACTAAATTACAATTGTGTTGAGATGCTTTTCCATTCAGAACTCAAAACCCTGTGCCGAGCACTGGGCAAAGTTCCTTTATACCAGTCTCTTTTCTGTCAGGAGTTAGTTCCAGCATGAGTTTTTTGAGAAGATGTCAAAATAAAGACTTTGCCAGAGAGCAAAGCTGTGAGTTTAAGAGCTCTCTGCTGAAGAAAGTTTGGATACCGGTGGATCAATAGCATAAAATCCCCTGGGAGTGCAAACACAGATTCATAGGCTGGATTGAGTCTGTGTTACAATCAGATTTACTTAAGTATTAACTGTTGCTAGTGCTTAGGAAATAAATAGCTCTTGTACCTTTACTACTTTTGGTGGAGAGGGGTCAGTCTGGTTGGCTGGTTTGGAATCAGAGCTCTGCTGTTTTGCGTAGACACGTCTCTTGGCTTCAGTCTCACTCTGCGAGTTTAGTTCAACTGGGAGGAGAAGGAAAGGTCTGTTAAACTCATTTTTAAAAACCACAAGAAACTCCTAGGAAGTTCAGTCTGATAAGACCATGTAGCAGTTTTGTCAGAGAAAGGCTTAAAGGTCTATCTGTTCCTAAACATGTATGACTAAACCATTAGTGCCAGAGCAAGCAAATATATTTACTCATCTTTTTCCTGCACCAAAATTACCAAATGATTGAGTGGCTGTGTTAAGGAAATGAGATAGGTGCCAGCTTCTCAGTATGCACTAACTGAGTTTCTGGGAAATATGGCTCCAGTTTAATAAATATGTTAAGCACATGCCTAAAGTTAAGCTTGAAGTCAATGGGCTATAAACATGTGCTTAAGTACCTTTGGAAGGCACTTTAGTCAACAAATATATTAGAAGTAGCTGATTGTAGCCAACAGATTAGCCACTGCTTGCTGTATTTGGCCCTGGAACACTAGGTCCAAATGGTGGGAGAACTGCACTGCTGGGGTTAAATTTAAACCTTTTATAAAGCAAGCATTAAAGCGGTCTCAGTACTACAGTTACAAACCAGTTTATAAATCTGAAAAAAATTCCCAGATCTTGAGCTGGGCTGAGGTTTTAGCACAAGATTTTTATTGGAAAAATCCCAAGAATCTGAAGGGGTTGCAAGTGTTGAATTAGGATTGTTATTTGGAATACAGTAATCTTTACAAACATTTAAAAAAACCACAGAGTCCCAATTTTATTCAAATTTTATGAATAAGATCTGTTTCTTTTGGGCTATCATATGACAAGTTTCATAATCATACTGGAATGGTTTTTCTCTTGACTGCAGGGAAAAAAAAATATGAGTCAACAGTGTGCCCGTGTTGCCAAGAAGACCAATGGCATTTTGGGATGTATAAGTAGGGGCATAGCCAGCAGATCGAGGGACGTGATCGTTCCCCTCTATTCGACACTGGTGAGGCCTCATCTGGAATAGTGTGTCCAGTTTTGGGCCCTACACTACAAGAAGGATGTGGAAAAACTGGAGAGAGTCCAGTGAAGGGCAACAAAAATGATTAGGGGTCTGGAACACATGACTTATGAGGCGAGGCTGAGGGAACTGGGATTGTTTAATCTGCAGAAGAGAAGAATGAGGGGGGATTTGATAGCTGCTTTCAACTACCTGAGAGGTGGTTCCAAAGAGGATGGTTCTAGACTATTGTCAGTGGTAGAAGAGGACAGGACAAGGAGTAACGGTCTCAAGTTGCAGTGGGGGAGGTTTAGATTGGATATTAGGAAAAACTTTTTCACTAGGCGGGTGGTGAAACACTGGAACGTGTTACCTAGGGAGGTGGTAGAATCTCCTTCCTTAGAAGTTTTTAAGGTCAGTCTTGACAAAGCCCTGGCTGGGATGATTTAATTGGGGATTGGTCCTGCTTTGAGCAGGGGGTTGGACTAGATGACCTCCTGAGGTCCCTTCCAACCCTGATATTCTATGATAATCAGCAAATTCTACAGCCAGTTTCTATACCACTGGAAATGGGAGTTTATAAGACAAGGCTGACCATTACAGGGCCATGAACAAATGTCCATTTTAACCAAACAACTGGCTTATATGTGCTACAAAATTGCAAGAAGGTGCCTAGATAATGTAAATGGGCTTCCATTGTGTGTGTTAGGATCAGAGTTCTTATGCTCAGATTGGATTTCATCTAACTTTAGCTTTATGAAGCAGTCTTGACCAGAATATACCTTCGATTAAATGGGAAGCCTGATGCTTCCTCCAGAAGCTATGGGTTCTAAGGGCAAACTGATCTTGACATAAGCATGGCATACAAGTAGATAGTGCCAACACATCCTGCCATCCACTTGCCCACTTTATATTTATTGGGCTAGGAGAATGAGTGCTTACTGGTGCCATCTTCAGAAAGATTGGAGTGGAAACCCAGACTCTTCTCACTGAAGAAAACCTGCAAAAGAAATGTTATACTGTGAACCATATGAAAGTCAGCTGGGCTCACCAGCTAACAGACTCAAAATTTAGAAATGGATAATCCCGGCATGAGTAGCAAAATAATGGGCAATTAACAGAACAATAAAACAGAAAAGCCTATTTACTAGCCAGTGTCCAACCTAAGCTAAGAACTTCTCAACGATGCTAGCACTGGCTACAAAACATTTTCTCCATTTCTCACCTTCTTCAGGGTCTCCCTTGCTGCCACTTCTTGAGTAGTCAAGGATACATAGGACCCGAAGTGACTCTTGATTTTGAAAATTTCCCCCTAAAACTACAAGCTGTGATGTAGAAGAAACATGCTTCGTCTGTCTTCTACATCATTCTTTAGAAAAGGATTGATTTACAAATTTCACTGTTTAATGCCTTCTGCTCAACTCACACATACTAATTCTCTGAAGTACAAGATTCTTTCATTAACAGAACTGTTGACACAGCCTATTATAACTTGTTTCAGGTACAGAATAATTTATTTACCAGGTGAAATGCCCAATGCAGGTTCTAGAAGGCTATTTTAACCTGGTTCTATCTATATATTAAATAAAATATAGCTTGACTATACTTAAACATTGAGGAACTAAAATGCCATAATGAGATTAACAGCAGAACTTCACTAATTCACACTAATGACTGAAAGACCCATTGCAAAGGATTGCACTTTGGAAATTAATGAGGAAGCAAACAAACAAGTCCAGATAACATACTTTGTTCATTTGACTAGTTTAATTTTAATGATACTTCCTAATAAGCATTCCACAATTTACTTTGTACCCATAACAAAGATCACTTCTAACCACTCTGTTACTGAGTCTTTGGGATGTGCAGGATGAGGGAAGCAGTGGTTTTTTGCACTTGAAGTATGAGTGTACAAGTAAGCGAGGTTCTGCTTAACATTTCTCTTTCTCCAGAAATTTCTGCCAGTTAATAGGTGTGCCCTGGACAGGGACACTAGATTTATCCTGCAGTGATGTCAAAGTGACCATCCTACTACCACACAACAGTCTATTCAATGTAGGTTCTTACACTGTGCGCTTATTACACATCAAGTCAGTCACTAAAGGACTGCCTATAAATTAAAGTAACTTCACTCTAGGAGCTAGCAGAGAGGGTTTTATTCAAACCTTTCCTTCAACAGTAGAAAGGTGAACTGAAAGAGAGAAACTGCTTTTATTTAATAGGTTTCCTTTTAAGAGGCTCCCCTTGATAACTGCTTTCCCACCCCACAAGCAGCTAAAATGTGAAGACTTGCTCAGTTCCCAGCAAGAAGCTGAAAGCAACAGTCTGGCTGCCTGCCGAGGGAGGTCCAGAAAGGTTTAAAAGCCCCCCCAGCATTAGGCTGCCACATGGTCAGAAAGCTTGTAATGCACAGTATTTGAATTATTATTGTTTGGCTACTTTTATTCCCTTCTGCCATCCCCCAATTTAAGTCACAGATGCCCCGAGACTTTGTTTTGTTGTGTGAATAAGGGGACAGTAATAATATGTTTATTTTAAAACTAAGTTTAAACAGTAGGAACAAAAAAGCTAATCAGGTTGCCAGTTACATTAACCAAGATCTGGCAACTCTGTGGCAGTGACCCACTTTCAATTCATTGTCACCCAGTACTTTGCACTTACACATCTTCTCTCATCTGAGGCTCCCCAAGCACCTTACCAGAAATTTAACACCTGCAAGGTGTTTTCCACCCATTTTACAGATGGGGAAAATGGCACAGAAGAGTATTGTAGCTTGCCCAAAGGTCACTCAGGGAATGGCAGAGTCAGAAATAAGACTCAGGAGGCTCCACTTCTTCCTCCCATGTTCTTAATATGCCATCATTATGAAATTCAAGGATTCTGCCACACCAAGAACATTCACCATATCCTGACAGACTACAAGTGCAACCCCCTCTAGATAAAGTTATAAAAAATAGCTAGATATTCTGCATACAAAAGGACTTATTTTGATTCTTATAAATTAAGATTTCTCTTGCCTGTTTGTAATTACCATCCTAAATTCTGATCATCTCAAAATCATGAGTCCCACAGCATGCAGATAATTTGTATCAGCCAATACAGCTCAATTTCCAGATGCCTGTTGTATGTCCTCAAGCAGTTCCATTTCAAGGAGAGTTCTTGATCCTCAATCAATATGAGTGCATCTTACCTTATCCCCATCCTGATGGGAAATGGAGTCCTCAGGACTTGGAGGCACATTCTCCTTCTGCTCAGATTTGTAACTCTTGATTTCACTGTCACTGGCTTGAATCTCATTCTATAGAACAAAGGAATTGAGTGTTGACATTCTTTTTCCCTTAAAGTGAGAGAGCTTTCTATGTGTCTTCTTAAAGAAGTCTTGTGAATACTATGTCCTGTAACACACAGCTGATGACTAAAGGGAAGAGGACAAAGGAGTCTACAAATATTTGATGGGTGAAATACACCAAGGAGGGAGAGGAAATACAGGATAAAGGGAGTATAACTTTTATTCCATGCCATCACCACAGTATCAAAAATACCTTTCCATCAAGAACCAACCAATTTTTTCCTTAAAACCAACTTCTTTCTTTCTTGTTGTCACTCCAAATAATTCCACACCTTCCCTTACCTGAAATGCTGCCCCATGTTTTATTTTATTTAGGTCATAAGCACTTCAGGGCAAGGAACATGCATTATTCTCTAATGCTCTATGAAAGTGAGTTCTACCCTAGCTTCAATACATGTCCCTTCCAACCCTGATATTCTATGATATGCTAGTACTTATCTTTTTGAACCTCAGTGTTTAATATGACAGGTCTTTAAACATAATAAGTAATAAGTATTCCTTGCAGTGTTCTGAAGGGATTATGCTATCACACTTACAGCAGAAGAAAACATACAGCATACTTCGGGCATGTCTACACTGGCACGTTACAGCGCTGCAACTTT